TGGTGTCAGAAGTGGGATTCTTTGTATGGCTCCAGACGTGGTGTCAGAAGTGGGATTCTTTGTGTGGCTCCAGTCTTATTGGAAACATGGGACTTTGTAAGAGAAGGAGCAAGAGGCATGGGAAGTAAAACTTGACGAGAAAGTTGTTCTGTCTGAGTAACTGTATCCTGAGCTTTTGTAACCTGCTAACATCCTTAATAAACCTCCTAATCGTGAATATCGTCTACGTAGCCATTGGAATAAATGATCGAACCCAGCTGAAAAATAAGAGATCCGAGGGAGGGCCTGTTGGTGTCAGAATTGGTAGGAAGGTTGGAGGGTGGGTCATGTCTGACTTCAGTCTCCTAGAAATTAGCCTTGGGTGTTACTGGTGTGGAGTTGGATTTTCTTCCCCCCTGGCACAGCTAGAGGATGTCAGAAGACACTTCCCACTTTTAATTCCTTTTTTTTCCCCAGTAAGACATTTTGCCAAAGACTTTTCTGCAGAGGAGAAAAGACCCTAGTGGCCTAATTTGCTAGTCCCGAATGTTGGGGATAATGAATCCGCTGGCACTTAATGAGGAAATGTTTATCCTTTTTCTTATTAGTTAATAGTCTTCTGAAAGTTTGGCTTTAGAGGTGTCTTGGACATTTTTAAGGAGCTCTGGTGGCACTGGGTATTCAGCATTGGAATGTAACTGCAAGGTCAGCAGTTTAAACTCACCAACTACTTTCTGGGAGAAAAGATTGCTCCCATAAAGATGTACAGTCTCTGAAACCCTAAGGAGCTGTTCTACTTTGTCTTACATAGGGTTGCTATGAGTCGGAGGAGCCCTGGTGGAGTAATGGTTATAAGTTGGGCTGTTTAACTGCAAGGACGGCAGTTTAAAACCACCAGCCGCTCCCCGGGGAGAAAGATGGAGCTTTCTTTTCCTGTAAACATTAGTCTTGGAACAGGAGCAGTTCTACCCTGTCCTGTAAGATTGATCTACGTGGGAATCAATTCTATGGCTTCGGGGTTTGGTTTTGCTTGAGTTGGAAATGACTGTGATAGTGGGTTTGTGTGTGTGTGTGTGTGTGGTTGGAAAAAGTATGGAAAAGCTGAAGAATGCATGTTATTCTTGCACATAGCCTTCAAAGTAGAAACTGTGATGTATAGAACCCTACTCTGTGCTGGGCCTTGTTCATGCATAAGCTTGTTTCATCCTTACAGGACCTCTCTGGAGCTTGGCCTCCATCACATACTGTCTAGATGAGGAATCTCAGGCTAGAGGGCAGGACACCCTGTGCCCAAGGACATGCCCTCCCAGAATGGGAGAGTTGAGATTCACACCCACAACCTCTCATTTCCCACTGAAGTCCACCCCGCCCTTTGACTTGTTTATTCATTACTCATCCTGCTCCTTCAGCTAATACATTTTTTCCATGGCTTTTGAAAATGTAAAATCTGCTGAAATCTCATCTCCTCTGTATCGTGTCAGGAGAAATGAATCTTATTTTTATGTTCGGGTGCTCTGGTGCAGTGAGCTGAGTTGGGCTGTGAATAGCAAGGTCAGTGACTCAAACCCACCAGCTACCCACTTGGGAGAAAACTGAGGCTATCTGATCCCATAAAGATTTACGATCTTGGAAACCTTGAGCAGTTTTTCTGCCTTGTAGGAGCCCTGATGGTAGGTTATACATTGGGCAGTGATCCACATGGTTGGCAGTTCAAAACTACCAGCAGCTCCACTGGAGAAAGACTGGGCTTTCTACTCCCATAAACAGTTACAGTCTTGGAAACCCACCGGGGAAGGGTTGGGGTGGGGTCACCATGAGTCAGCATTGACTCAGTGGCAGTGAGTTTTTGAAGGGCTGCTGTAAGTTGCAATCGACCTGATGGCAGTGGATTTGGTGTTGCTTTTGGTTTCTCTTGTTTAAGGAGTCCTGGTAGCATAGTGGGTAAGTGCTTGGCTGCTAACTGAAAGGTTGGTGGTTCAAACCTGTCAGCTGTGCTATGGGAAGAAGGTGTGGCAGTCTGTCTCTGTAATGATTTACCGCCTTGGAGGCCCTGTGGGGCAAATTTACCCCATCTTACTGGATTGCTATGAATCCGAATGGACTCGCTGGCAGGGGGTTGGTGTTTATTTTTATCTTTTTTGATACTCCCTGGTTTGCACTGGACTCTAACCTGCCGGTCGGTGCTTCCAGTTCAACCAGTGGTGCCACAGCAGGAAGGCCTGGTGGTCTGTTCGATGAAAACTATGCCCAAGAAATCCTGTGGACACGGTGCAGAGGAGGGCCAGCTAGTCAGCACAGCGAGAAGCCGAGGAATACCGGAATACCGTTGACGGAGCTGGTCCTGTCTTCGGACTCATTTTCTGTGCCTTCCCACTTGATCCTGCTCTCCGGTTGCACTTACTTCCCTAATGAGCAACACCGTGGTGGGGAGGGAGCGGCAGAAAGACAGCATCGTGCAGCAGTTCTGCTCTGTAACATGTGGAGATGCTTTTTAAAAGAAATCATTTATTAATCATTTTATTGGGGGGGGCTCTTACAGATCTTATAAGAATCCATAATTCAATTGTATTAAGCCCAACTGTACATATGCTGCCACCATTTCCCAAACATTTTCTTTCTACTTTACCCCTTGGTATCAGCTCCTCTTTTTCCCCCTCCCTC